AAAAAAAAATTACAAAATATAAATGAAAGAAATCAGAGGAGATCCAGATAAATAGAGACATATCATGTTCACGGATTGGAAGACAACACGGTAGAAAGGAGCAGTGTGCAGTGGCTCACGCCTGTAATCCCAGCACTTTGAGAGGCCTAGGTGGGAGGATGGTTTGAGGCCAGGAATTCAAGATCAGCCTGGGCAACATAGTGAAACCCTCTCACTGCAAAAAATGCAAACAATAGTCAGATGTGATGGTGTGCACCTATAGTCCCAGCTACTCAGGAGGCTGAGGTAGGAGGATTGTTTGAGCCCGGGAGAAGATCAAGGCTGTAAGTGAGCTGTGATTGCACCACTGCACTCCAGCCTGGATGACGAAGTGAGACTCTGTCTCAAAAAAAATAAAGGCCAGAAAAAGCCAAACCTGCTGGGTTACATTCCCCGAGGGTTGGGCACTCTTGGTCACAAGATGTTCGTGGTTGAGGGAACAAGGTAATAATGTTAACTAACTGAATAAAGACCCAGAACTTATGGAAATGTCCTAGTACTTTAACAGGAAAAAGCATTCTTAGTTTAAGAACAGGTTTTGCTTTAGAGATAAGAGTAACATAGGAAAGTGACAACACTAATAGCCTGTCACAAGCTGATCAGAAACCTTTGCAATAGAGTACACTATTATTTTTTATTATTTAATTTAATTAATTTATTTTTGAAACAGGACCTCGCTCTCTCACCCAGGCTGGAGTGCAGTGGCACAATCTTGGCTCACTGCAACCTCAACCTCCCTGGCTCAGGCGATCCTCCCACCTCAGTCTCCATGCATCACCATGCACAGCTCATTTTTTTGGTACTTTAATTTTTTATTTTTTTGTATTTTTAGTAGAGACAGGGTTTCATCGCATTAGCCAGGATGGTCTCGATCTCCTGACCTCATGATCCACACGCCTCGGCCTCCCAAAGTGCTGGGATTACAGGCGTGAGCCACTGCGCCCAGCCTTTGGTACTTTTTATAGAGACAGAGTCTTACTATGTTGCCCAGGCTGATCTCAAACTCCTGAGCTCAAGCCATACTTTCGCCTCGGACCCCCAAAGTGTTGAGATTCCAGGCATGAGTCACCACCCCCAGCCTAAAATATCCTCATGACCTCAGGCCTGACGAAGTGTCATACATGACGCAAAATCACAGTCCATAAAAAGAAAATGTGATTAACTGGGCTTCAAAACCAAAAATTTTTGCCCTCAGAGAGACTCTTTGAAGAGAGTGAAAAGACAAGCTACAGATTGGCAGAAAATATTTTGACAGTTTCTTATAAAACCAAACATGTAACTACCATATGACCCAATATTACATTCCTGGGCATCTATCCCAGAAAAATGAACATTTACGTTCACGCAGAAACCTGTACAATGAATGGCTTTAGCAGCTTTATCCATAACAGCCAAAAACTGGAATTAGCCCAGATGTTGCTCAGTGAGTGAATGGTTAAACAAACGGTGGTACCTCCATATGATAAATGCAACAGCTTAGTTGGATCTCAAAAGAATTATGCTGAGTGAAAAAAAGCCAATCTCAAAGGTTTTGTACTGTGTAATTCCATTTATGTACCATTCTTGAAATAACACAATTACAGAAATGGAGAAGGGATTAGTGGTTGTCAAGGAGACAGGGATGGGGAAAAGGGGCTATGAAAGGCTAGCAGCAGCTCTTTGTGCTGAGGGAATGATTCTGAATCTCAATGGTAGTGGTTGTTACATGAATCTACGCATGTGATTCATGTAACGAATTATTTGTGTGTATCTATGTGTGTGGTGCAATTGCATAGCAGTACACACACACACACACACACACACAAATTAGTGCTTGTAAAACTGAAGAAATTTGAATTAAATTGGTGGATTGTACCAGTATCAATTTCCTCCTTTTGATATTATACTATAGTTATGCAAAAATTGCGTAAATTATTCACAGAACCTTTGTACTTTTTTTTTTCCAACTTCAACAGAATGTATCATTATTTCTTTTTTTTTTTGAAATGGACTCTCGCTCTGTCGCCCAGGTTGGAGTGCAGTGGCGTGATCTCGGCTCACTGCAAGCTCTGCCTCCCAGGTTCACGCCATTCTCCTGCCTCAGCTTCCCGAGTAGCTGGGAATACAGGCGCCTGCCACCACGCACAGCTAATTTTTTGTATTTTTAGTAGAGACGGGGGGTTTCACTGTGTTAGCCAGGATGGTCTCAATCTCCAGAGCTCGTGATCCACCCGCCTTGCCCTCCCAAAGTGCTGGGATTAGAGGCATGAGCCACCGCACCCGGCTCATTATTTCTAAATTAATAGTTAAAAAGGCAGTGAGTGGTGGCTCCCACCTGTAATCCCAGCACTTTGGGAGGCTGAGGCAGGAGGATCACTTGAGTTCAGGAGTTTGAGACCACCCTGGGCAACATAGGGAGACCTTGTCTGTACAAAAAAAAAAAAAAAAGAAAGAAAGAAAGGAAAGAAAAGAAAAATTAATTAGCTGGATGTGGTGGCACACATCTGTGGTCCCAGCTACTCAGGAGGCTGAGGAGGGAAGATAACAGGAGTCCCGGAGGTTGAGGCTGCAGTGAGCAATGATTGTGCCACTGCACTCCAGCCTGAGCAACAGAGCAACACCCTGTCTCAAAAAAAAAAAAAAAAAAAAAAAAAAAAAAAAAAAAGATAACTGGATCACCAAGGTTTAGCTCCTAGCAAAGTATATATCTAAAACAGGCAATATAGGCTCTAAATGTGGCAATTGTCCAAAAAGCATTTCCCATTTGGATAAAATGTTTAATTATGCATTCAAGGGGAAGAGGAAGAGGCCCAAACTGGCTGTAAGAGACCCAAACCACACAAGGAATCCTTTCCACTCTACCTTTGTCCCTTCCATGCCCACCTCATGGAAACTGGGTTCTGGGTTTTGCGAGTGGCCTAGGAGAGGTGTAGAGCTGGAACCATTTTAGTCTCTCTTGGGCTCTTGCTTACAGTTATCTCCTGGCCTGACCTGTTGTCTCCGAATGCTTTGGTAACCTTGTCCTAGACCTTAAGTAAAAAAAAAATGCTGCTGCTGAGGTGGTAACGAACCTATTAACAAAATCCAGTGCACTCTGAGGAGGCCATAGTGGTGGGGCCCTGCTGACTCTAAGGGCTGTCTCAGTCTGTTTGGGCTACTGTAACCAACTGCCACAAAGTAGGTGGCTTGTAAACAACAGAAATGGATTTCTCATAGTTCTGGAGGCTGGGAAGTCCAAGACTAAGGCATCAGCAGATTCAGTGTCTGGTGAGGACCTTCCTTCTGGTTCACAGATGGCACCTTCTCACTGTGTCCACACATGGTGGAAGGGGCCAACAAGCTTCCCTGGGCCTGTTTCATAAGGGCACTAGTCCCTAATCACTCAATCACCTTCTAAAAGGCCACACTTCCTAATTCCATTATCTTGTGGTTAGGATTTCAACAGATGAATTTTTGGGGGTCAGGAGGATGCAAATATTCAGGTCATAGTGATAGCATCATCGTCCTCTTCAGAAGCACTCCAGCCTGCTTTGCAGCTGTTTACTTTTTTATTTTTTATTTTTATTTTTATTTGAGACAGAATCTTGCTCTGTCACCCAGGCTGGAGTGCAGTGGTATGATCTTGCCTCACTGCAACCTCCACCTCCTGGGCTCAAGTGATTCTCCTGCCTCAGCCTCCTGGGTAGCTGGGATTACAGGCATGTGCCACCACAGTTGGCTAATTTTTGTGTTTTTAGTGGAGACAGGGTTTCACCATGTTGGCCGGGCTGGTCTTGAACTCCTGACCTCAAGTGATCTGCCCACCTCAGCCTCCCAAAGTGCTGGGGTTACAGGCGTGAGCCACCACACCTGGCCTCCAGCTATTTAATTCTGCTCAAAGAGTTTGTTTCCTATGAGGGACACACAATTGGTTTATTCCTGTTTTAATAAATGATTCAGGCCAGGTGTAGTGGCTCATGCCTGCAACCACAGCACTTTGGGAGGCCAAGGCAGGAGGATCACTTGAGCCCAGGAGTTCAAGACCAGCCTGGACAGCATAGGGAGATGCCATCTCTAAAAGAAAATAATAATACATAGGAACAGCAAACCTAATACTACATGTTCTCACTTATAAGTGGGAGCTAAATGATGAGAATTCATGTACACAAAGAAGGGAACAATAGACACTGAGGCCTACTTAAGGGTGGAGGGTGGGAGGAGAGTGAGGATCAGAAAAAATAACTATTAAGTACTAGGCCTCTGGGTGATGAATTAATCTGTACAACAAACCCCCATGACATGAGTTTACCTATATAAGAAACCTGCACATTTACCCTTGAACATAAAATAAAAGTTAATAATAATATTAATAATAACAAAACTAGCTCTGCATGCCTGTAGTCTCAGCTATTTGGGAGGCTTAGGTGGGAAGATTGCTTAAGCCCAGGAGGTCGAGGCTGACAGAGCAGGAGCACCGTCATCTCAAACACTGCCACTTTAAATTCCAGCTGCCTTTCCAGCTTCATGCATTTCAAGGAAATCACTTCTTTTCTAACTACAAGCAGCCAGAAAAGAACAGACAGTAAGACACAGACAAGACAGCTCAGGCACAGAGGAAGGCAGGGAGAAAGTCTCTTGGGTAACTGCCAAACTTCACCCCCGTACAACGGGGCCCCAGTAAAACAGTGGGCCTTAATAAGCACATTCCTTTCCCTTCAGGTGCACTAAGATAGGGAAGCTAAAGGCAGACTCGGGGGGGTGGGGGTATGCCTGCAGCTGCAGGAAGATGTATGTGAACAGACACAAAACTCTCCCTCCCAGATAAGCACAACAAAGAGACACAGAAGCAGTCCAAGCGTCTGATAAACTCTCCTGCCCTGAACCCTTAAAGTAAGAGAGTGCAGCTTCTGACCAGAAGCCAGAAGTCCCTCCCAGGTTTAAAATAAACCTGTCGACTGTCAAGCTACCCTCCATGTTTCTCTCCTCTTTCTTTAATTCTTACATTTGATCTGAAACCCAGGACGGGTGTTGGGGGCAGAGACTCTCTTGCAACCCAGGAACCAATGGACAATGGCAGTGCATCCTGAGTTAACTCCCGGATCCTGAGGGTCTCTGGCCACCCTCCCAGTCTTTTCTTTCACTTCAATTTTCTAGTGATTTGCATGAGGAGGACAACTGACTTGAAGGGGACTGCAAGGCTCAGGCTGGGGCTACTCCCCCATGAGCTTTCAAAACCCTCAGGTCTCAGGAATTTACCTCCGACCGCCTGTAACAGGTATTTCACTCCCTAACCCTTGCTCCTTCTTCCTCCTTCTTCTTTCTCTCTCTCTCTCTGTCTCCTCTCTCTCTCTCTCTCTCTCTTGCTCTCTCGCTCTCTTGCTCTCTCTCTCTCTCTTCCTTGTGTGGCTCCAGTCTGGGAGGCCCCTTGCTGATTCCAACCGGAACATCCAACATCGGACACTAATTCAGCTGACTGGTAAGATCTGCCTTCTCCTGGCTTTCTCCCAGTACCAGAAAAAGTCCAGCCTGCTATCCAGGTCCTCAGAGGACCAACAGGACTAAGCTAGAGGAAATCCTGGGGAAGCCCAGTTTCTTCTTAGCTTAACTATCCTCTTTTGGAAAGAAGATTCTGGGTCTCTGTCTTTTGTCTGGGGATGCCTAAAACAAAACAGACACCCTTGGCTTCCTCTTATCAGTCCACATGGGTGCCAAACAATCCCACATTCCTATGTCCTCCCCACTGGGCTGTCTCCTTCACAACCTCACCAAATTTGGCTTACAGGGGACCCTAAAGCCAAAGCGTCTAATTTTCTCCTGCAACACGGCTTGGCCCCAATACAGATTAAATAACAACAGACGATGGCCCAAAAATGGCACCTTTAACTTTCAAATTCTCAGGGATCTTGACAACTTTATAACCAGGAATGGCAAATGGCAAGAGATTCTCTATATTCAGGCTTTTTTCTACCTTAGATCCCGACCCTCCCTATGTCAAGCTTTCACCCCTCATGAAATCCTTCTTCTTAATGAAAACCCTCCCCAGGTCTCTCCTTCCCCTGGAACCCCTTCCTCTGAAGCTCCTTTTGACCCTGCAAATGAACCCCCTCCATATTCTCAACCCCCTGCACCTGCTCCTCGCCTGTCCGAACCCTCCACCCCGGCAGCCCTTAACCCTGCCCCTCCTCCTTCTCCACCTGTAACCCGTTCAAAAACTACTCCATCCAGTCAAACCACCTCTGTCATTTTCCTTCTCCGGGAAGTGGCTAGAGTTAAAGGCATTACTTGCGTTCATGTTCCTTTCTCCATGTCTAATCTGCCGCAAATTGAACAGCATCTGGGATCTTTCTCTGAAAATCCATCTCATTATCACAATAAATTCCTGCACATAACTCAATCCTTTAATTTAACTTGGCACGACTTTTATATAATTCTAACCTCCACCCTCACTCCTGATGAAAAAGAGCTCATCTGACATTCAGCTGAAGCCCACGCAGATGAACTCCATAATCAAGTGCCTATACAAAATCCAGTGGCTAATGATGCAGTCCCCCGTAGAGACTCAGATTGGACTTACCAATAGGGAGACAATGGCATCAGATGAAGAGACCACATGATTTTCTGTCTCCTTGTGGGTATGGACAAAAATGCCCATAAGGCAGTTAATTATGAGAAACTTAGAGAAATTACACAAGACCCCCAAGAAAATTCTGCCCTTTTCTTATCACGCCTCACTGAAGCTATGCTAAAATATACCAATTTGGACCCAGAATCTAGAGAAGGTCAAACTTTTCTCCACCTCCAATTTGTTTCCCAGTCTGCCCCAGATATCTGGAAAAAATTGTAAAACTTAAAGGAGGGTCCCCAGACATCCTGGCAGGACCTCCCAAATGTAGCCTTCCATGTCTTTAACAACAGAGAGGAGGAACAAAAAATTCAAAAAGACAAACATCTCTCATTAAAAACCCAGATGCTCGCCTCTGCTATCCAAAAGTCAGTTACACAAAAGCCTCCCAATGACCCAAAATAAAACTCCCCGACGCCTCTGGGAGTCTGTTTCCAATGTGGCAACTCTGGACACTGGGCAAAGGCTTGTCCTAACTACCGGACCTCCACCAGACCGTGTCCAGCTTGTGGTCTTTGGGGACACTGGAAAGTGGACTGCCCCCAACAGGGACACCCTCCCCGTTTGGGTGCGGCTCATAATAAAGCCCCCTGACCATCACAGGAGGAAATCTCTTCACTGCTGGTGCTGACAACAGAAGACTGAAAGTGACCGGGATCCTTCGCCTCCACGCCTAGTGAGTCCACGGAACTCAGGGTAATTAGGACGGTGTCCGGTAAGATTATTTCCTTTCTTTTGGATACCGGGGCGAGTCTTTCGATGTTAACTGAGTATCAAGGCCCATGAAAACACTCATCCATTTCTGTTGTTGCCATGAAGGGCACACACAAAAAAACCCACACAAAACGCCACCTCTATACTGCTCATTTCAGGGTGTCACCTTCACTCACTCTTTCTTGGTCATCCCTCATTGTCCCACTCCTTTACTAGGAAGGGACATCCTACAGAAATTAGGGAGAATCATCCATTTATCAGCCCTACACCAAAGCCACCCTTATTTGTTATTACATCAAGAACAGAACCCCTCCTCAGACACTCAACATCAAATAGACTTAAACCCCAAATTCCTTTGCCATGTAAATTCCATGGTATGAAACACTAACTCCCTCATAATAGCTACCCACTATTCTCCAATTCAAATTTCACTGAAGGATCCTAAGCGCCATATAGTGGTCCCACAATACCCCCTCAACCTTAGTGGGTTGCGGGAACTCAAACCCATCATCTCCTGACTTTTGGCTGCCAATATTTTAATCCCCACCTGTTCTCTCCACAATACCTCCGGTTCTCCCAATTAAAAAACCGGATGGCTCTTATAGACTGGTTCAGGATTTGCAACAAATCAGCTCTGCTGTTGTTCCTGTTTATCCTGTTGTCCCAAACCCCTTCACCCTCCTACCACGAATTCCTCCCAACACTAGCCATTTCTCTGTATTAAACCTCAAAGATGCTTTTTTTTTTTTTTTTTAAACTATCCCTCCACTCAAAACCTTTTTGCTTTCACTTGGACTAACCCTGACACAGGCTGCTCCCAACAACTCACATGGACTGTCCCTCCTCAGGTGTTTAGGGAAAGCCCTCACTATTTCAGTCAGGTACTTCAATTGGATCTTTGCCAGCTATCTCTATAGCCTAGCATTTTGCTTCAATATATGGGCAACTTACTTCTTTGCAGCCCCTCTTTAGAACATTGCATTCAACACATTACCAGGCTTTTAAATTTTTTGGCTGAATGCAGGTACCAGGTATCAGAAGGGAAGACCCAATTGATCTCCCCAAAAGTTTCACATTTAGGACTAATCATAACTCCGAATACCCAAGAAATTCCACTGTCACAAAAGCAAGGCATTCAACAAATCCCATCTCCCAAAACAAAAAGGGACTTACTTTCTTTCCTTGGATTAGTGGGATATTTCTGATTATGGATAGCAAATTTTGCCATTATTGCTAAACCCTTTTATGAACACACAAAAGGAAATCTTGACCAACCACTCATTTCCACCCCAGACCTTTTTCATGCTTTCTGTCACCTAAAACATGCCTTATTACAGGCCCCTGCTTTAGACCTTCCAAACCCCCTGAAGCCCTTTCACCTATATATACACAGTTCTCATAATCAGGCCCTTGGACTATTAGTCCAACCTATGGGATATTCTCTCCAACCAGTGGCATATTTTTCAAAACAACTAGACCCCATTTATAAAACCTGGCCCCTTTGCTTAGAAATTTTGTCCACAGCCTCTCTTATCATCCCTGAGGCACAAAAACCCACGTTCTACGAACCCCTTCAGGTATTTTCTTCTCACAGTCTACAAGATATGCTCAGCCGTAAGGCGCTCACCTCAATTTCATCCTCTCACTTGCAAGTCCTACATTCAACTCTCCTTCAACCCTCTATCTCCATTCATAAATGCTCCCCCCCAAATCCCACCACTCTTTTACCTTCAACACCGACTTTGGACCCCGACCAACACTCATGCTCTAATCTAATTGAAAGTTTGCTCACCATGTTTCACCACCTTACTTCCACTCACATAAAGGGAGCCCCAGATTGGATTATAGATGGCAGCACATCAAAAAACCCTACCCTCCAAGCAGGATATGCCATCATTGAGGAATATCATAATAATACCCACTCTCTCCCACCTAGAAGCATTGTAAAGGCTGCCCCTTTGCCTTTGGGCACATCCTCCCAGCAAGCAGAATTAATTGCCCTAATAAAAGAATTAACCCTAGCAAAGAGCATACAAGTTAATATATACACCGATTCTAAATATGCCTATAACATCATCCATGCCAATGACCAAATTTGGAGCAAGTGGGGCTATCTCATGGCTAAAGAAACTCTAATAACTCGTGAAAAATCAATCCATCATTTGCTAAAGGCAACTTTACTCCCAGAAAAGTTTGCAGTTATCCATTGCAAAGGACATCAATCAAATAACAGCTACATTTCTTTAGGAAACTGTAAAGCTGACTGTTGGGCAAAACAAGCCTCAACCACTCATCCAGTTCCCCAGTACCTATTTCCCCTCATACAACATATCCCCTCCTTTTATGCAAAACACCAACACAACAACTAATCACGGTGGGGGCACAATTCAGCCCCCCACACTGGTTCATAGAAAACAAATTAGTCCTACCTGACCCTGAAAAAACAACTCTTTTACGGGACATTCACAACCTCTTCCACACCAGCCATTCCCCTCTACATTTCTTAAGTTCCCATATACACATAGCCCCAGATATAAAGGAACAGTTAAAAGCCATTTCCCATCAATTCTCTATTTGCCAGAATACTTCACCGCATTCCAACACTAAACCCCCTTCTTTCCCAACCCATCAGGCTAGGGAACACCTTCTAGGACAGGATTAGCAAATTGATTTTACCCATGTGCCCCCAGTAAAAAAGGTTAAATTTCTTTTAGTTCTGGTCGATACCGTTTTGGGATGGGTCAAGGCTTTTCCCACAACCAACAAACGAGCTTTTACTGTCACCTCCAAATTAATAACAGAAATCATCCCCAGGTTTGGGGTGCCTCATTCTTTTCAATCCAGCAATGGTCCTGAATTCATTTCTCAAATTACTCCAACACTTGCACAAGCTCTACAAATCACCTGGAAGCTACACATCCCCTATCGACCTCAATTTTCAGGGAAGGTTGAAAAAATGAATGGCATTCAAAAAACACCTCACCAGCTACTCACTCACTCCAAACACATAAAGACTGGGTTACACTTTTACCTTCGGTTACACTTTTACCTTTGGCCCTCCTAAAAATTCAGGCACTCTCATGTAAACCCTTAACGCTCAGCCCGTTTGAGCTCATGTGTGGGAGACCACTCGGCCCCTTTGTTCCACCTCACGGCCAAGCACCACCTCAACCAACTCCTCCCGTTTGCCCTCTTCTACTTACTGTCCGCCATTTTATTTGGGAATATGCTGACAAATACCTGCCACAACCTGTCTGGGTTCTCATAAAAATTCCCAGTCCTATCCCCAAATCCCCCCTTAGGTCTAAATGGAAGGGACCTTACCAGATCATCCTCACCACACCTACAGCAGCAAAACTCCAGGGGCTCCCTAACTGGATTCATTATACTTCTCTCAAAAAAAATAAACTTCCCTTCACCACATGCTCAAACAACTGAATCTAAAACTCCTTCAGACTTTTCTTGTGTCTCCACAGGACCCGCTTCCCTTTGCCTCACCCGAATCCCAGAGGAAAAAAAGGAAAACTCCACATAAGCCGCTTATGTCTCTTTCTCTTCCAAACTTCCATCGCTTCCTAATCTGCCTTGCTACAGACCTTCAGTGGTACCCTTACGAAGCTCCCATTGCACATCCTGATCAGCTCCTTACTATTTTATGGGACCTATGGCTTCAAGGAACTTTCCAGGACTTTACTGCTACCCAAATAACCTTTTTCTCTTTTTGCTTGCTTCTTTTAATATAAATTCCCTAAGTACATAAATCTCACCAATACAACCGCTCCTCACTGCTCTCAAGCTCAAACGCTCTATAAACCTTACACAATCCCTCTTACTGTCAGCTAACTCTTCCCTTGCTTCAGAATGCTGGATGTGTTTATCACTGTCTTCCTCAGCTTACTCAGCCCTTTCTGCACTCCTTCATGACATTTTAACTGGAAATATAACCCTAATTTATAAACTCCAAAAAGGAGTTTCCCTTTTTAAAAAAGTTGACACTCTAATCGGCAGTTATCCCACTTTCAGGGCCAATCAAGCTAACAAATTATTTCAGACCTACTACAACTCCCTATAATGACTTAAGCCCCAAGGCCCTCCCATTGAAGGGCCTATAACTAAACACACTCCCCTTTTTCAACAAGCCTCACTTTACTTTTCGGCCTCTAAGGGAAATATCCCTGTAGGTTCATTAACATTTAACCAATGCAACCGCACTATCGTTGTTAAACACCCGTCTGACCACCAAACTAATCAAATTAACTACCAAGTGTCACTGGAAGCAAATGGGAACATTTCTGCAACCGGCTAGTTTCACAGCCTCTCCCTTAACCAATGCCTCTGGCCTAATCTGTGCTGTCCCTAATGCCCACCTTTTTCCATGGCGCAATATTAATGGCGCAACATCCGACCACATTAAATGTGTAAAAAGTAACTCTTCTTATATCTCTACTATAGTAGGTGTCTCCCTGGCCTCCTCTTTGTCAGTCTGGAGTAATGAGCCACAGGAAAAAAACAAAACAAAACAAAACAAACAGAAAGACAACAACAAAACACCCCATCTTTAATTCACTTGTTCTCTTCCCATATTTCTGCCTGTGTTTACAACAAAGTCTTTTTTTTTTTTTTTGAGACGGAGTCTCGCTCTGTTGCCCAGGCTGGAGTGCATTGGCCGGATCTCAGCTCACTGCAAGCTCCGCCTCCTGGGTATACACCCTTCTCCTGCCTCAGCCTCCCGAGTAGCTGGGACTATAGGCACCCGCCACCTCGCCCAGCTAGTTTTTTGTATTTTTTTTTAGTAGACACGGGGTTTCACCCTGTTAGCCAGGATGGTCTCGATCTCCTGACCTCGTGATGCGCCCGTCTCAGCCTCCCAAAGTGCTGGGATTACAGGCTTGAGCCACCGTACCCGGCCAACAAAGTCTTATTCTTTTTGTGTGGCAGCAACACCTATCTTTGTCTCCCCACCAGCTGGACTGGAACCTGTACCCTAGTTTATCTATCTCCCTCCATTGGACTAGTTCCTCCTAATCAGCCTTTGCCCATCCCACCCGTCCAATACGTTAGAAAAAGAAGGGCCATCCACGTCATTCCTTTAATGGCCGCCTTAGGTATAGCCTCTGGACTTGGATTGGGAGCAAGCGGATTAGCCACCTCCTTAACATACTTTCAGGCACTTTCAACAAAACTACAGGGCTCTTTAGAAGATATAGCCTGAAGCTTTATAAGAGTCCACGACCAACTAGACTCCTTGGCTGGAGTAGTCCTCCAAAACAAACAGGGATTAAATCTTATAACGGCTGAAAAAGGGGGCCTCTGTCTCTCATTGGGTAAGAAATGTTGTTTCTTTTTTTTGTTTGTTTGTTTTTTGAGACGGAGTCTCGCTCTGTCGCCCAGGCTGGAGTGCAGTGGCGCGATCTCGGCTCACTGCAAGCTCCGCCTCCTGGGTTTACGCCATTCTCCTGCCTCAGCCTCCTGAGTAGCTGGGACTACAGGCGCGTGCCACCGCGCCCGGCTAATTTTTTGTATTTTTAGTAGAGACGGGGTTTCACCGTGGTCTCGATCTCCTGACCTTGTGATCCGCCCGCCTCGGCCTCCCAAAGTGCTGGGATTACAGGCGTGAGCCACCGCGCCCGGCCGGAATGTTGTTTCTATCTCAACCAATTGGGCCTAGTAAGAAATGCTGCTGAAAAACTAAAAAGAGGGGCTAAAAAGCTAAGGGAATACCAAAACAACCAAATAAATTATTGGTTTAAAAATAAAATCATAGCATGAGTCATCCCATTCCTGGGTAATTAACCTTTTTCAAAAATTTTTAACTGACAGAATCATGGCCATTTTGCAACCACCCATAAACATTTACAGATGGTGTTACTCCTGCAGTCAATCTGAGACCAAGAAACTCTCCGCTCCCCCGTCAGCAGGAAGTAGCCAGAAAGAACACGTCGCCCCCTCATCCTTTTATAACTATAGGGTCTGCAATGACAGAGCAGGAGCACCGTCACCTCCGACAAACACTGCCACTTTAAGTTCCAGCTCCCTTTCTAGCCTCATGAATTTCAAGGAAATCACTTTTATTCTAACTATAAGCAGCCAGAAAAGAGCAGACAGTAAAACACAGATAAGACAGCACAGGCACAGAGGGAGGCAGGAAGAAAGTCTCTTGGATAACTGCCGAACTTCACCCTCATACAAGGGGCCCCAGTAAAACAGTGGGCCTTAATAAGCACATTCCTTTCCCTTCAGGTTCACTAAGATAGGGAAGCTAAAGACAGACTCAGGATGCCTGCAGCTGCAGAAAGATGTATTGGAACAGACACACAACTCTCCTTCCCAGATAAGCACAACACAGAGACACAGAAGCAGTCCAAGCCTCTGATAAACTCTCCCACCTTAAATCTTTGAAAACTCTTAGTCTGTAAGAGAGTGTGGCTCTGACCTAACTCAAAAGGGTCAGAAGTCCCTCCCAGGTTTAAAATAAATCGGTTGACTGTCTAGCCACCCTTCGTGTTTCTCTCCTCTTTAATTCTTACAGAGGCTGCAGTGAGCTATCATGCCACTGTACTCCAGCCTGGGTGACAGACCAAGACCCTGTCTCAAAAAAAAAAAAAAAAAAAAAAAAAAAAGGCCCGGTAAGGTGGCTCATGCCTGTAATCCCAGCACTTTGGGAGGCTGAAGAGGGTAGATCGCTTGAGGTGAGAAGTTCAGGACCAGACTGGCCAACATGGCAAAAACCCATCTCTACTAAAAATACAAAAATTGGTTGGGCATGGTGGCTCATGCCTGTAATCCCAGCACTTTGGGAGGCCGAGGTGCATGGATCACCTGAGGTTAGGAGTTCTCGACCAGCCTCGTCAACATGGTGAAACCCTGTCTCTACTAAAAATACAAAAAAATTAGCTGGGCATGGTGATGGATGCCTGTAATCCTAGCTACTTGGGAGGCTGAGGCAGGAGAATCTCTTGAACCCAGGAAGCGGAGGTTGCAGTGAGCCAAGATTATGCCATTGCACTCCAGCCTGAGCAACAAGAGCAAAACTCCGTCTCAAAAAAAAAAAAAAAAAAAAAAAAAATTGCTGGCCGTGGTGTCGGGTGGCTGTAATTGCAGCTATTTGGGAGGCAGAAGCAGGAGAATCACTGGAACCCAGGAGACACAGGCTGCAGTGAGCTGAGATTGCACCACTGCACTCCAGCCTGGGCGACAGAGTGAGACTCCACCCCCACCCCACCCCCCAAAAAAAAAGCCAAAAAAAAAAAAAAAAAAAAACAGGGTCTTAAACTCTAGCTACAGTTCATGCCCCAATAGGGGACCTCTTCTTTCATAGACATCAGGCCTATCCTTGCTTGCACACACAGACCAGACTAAGCTCTCCAACATGAGTGGTGAGGAGCAGTCATATTGCCCTGGATTTCCTGCCGGCAGTCAGAGCTGGCTGTGTGCAGTTGCTGACACCTCTTGCTGCACCTGGATTAATGACCAACTTAGCTGGCTTGGCTTTGACCAGGAACCTGACTGTGGTCTATTCTCCAGGTGGATCTGATCATTCTACTTGATCATAGCCACAGTTATTCTTATCTGATGTCACTTAATACCAATAAAAAGGATTTCATCCATGCCCCTGTCACAGTACAATTAATTGGGACATCTGATAGAGTGGCCTGTGCTTTTCTTTTCTTTTTTTTTTTTTTTTTTTTGAGACAGAATCTTGCTCTGTCATCCAGGCTGTAGTGCAGTTGCACCATCTTGGCTCACTGCAACCTCTGCTTCCTGGGTTCAAGTGATTCTCCTGCCTCAGGCACCCAAGTAGCTAGGACTATAGGCATGCGCCAGCATGCCTGCTGAATTTTTTTTTTTTTTTGAGGCAGAGTTTTGTTCTTGTTGCCCAGGTTGGAGTGCCGTGGTGTGATCTCGGCTCACTGCAACTTCTGCCTCCTGGGTTCAAGCAATTCTCCTGCCTCAGCCTCCCAAGTAGCTGGGATTATAGGCGTACGCCACCACGCCTGGCTAATGTTCTGTATTTTTAGTAGAGATGGAGTTTCACCATGTTGGCCAGGCTGGTCTCAAACTGCTGAGCTCAGGTGATCCACCCACCTCAGCCTCTCAAAGTGCTGGGATTACAGGTGTGAGCCACTGCACCCGACCTGGCCTGTGCTTCTTGAAAAGAAATTCTTAGCTGGTTACCCAAAAGGCCAGGCAGTGCAGTTGTAGGGACCAGCTCTGCCATGATGCCATGGAGACCCTGCACATCTCCACGTGGGCAAAAGGCAAAGGCTTGCCTGAAGACTTGAGTCTTGGCAGAACGTCCTGTGATTTTTTTCCTGGAACTGGGCAAGACAAGCAGCCTGCTGAGGAGCCACCATGAGACAGTTTCTCATCAGCCTCCCTGGCTCTGGTGTGGTATCGGGCTTTTTACTTTGCCCAGACTTATATTTCAGCTGCAGGCTTCTGTGTAAGTCTATTACAAAACTGCTTGTGGTCGTTTTTGAGTTGGCCCTTCAATGTCACCTGGCCCCTCTGGTTCAGTGTCATCCTGTGGGACTAGGGATGTTGGAGCTGACACCTTGATGGTCTTACTGTCTCTTTAAACAATAAACTGTCTGAATGCAGTTGGGCCCACCATTTCTTTAGCGGCTGAATCCGTGGACACGTGACAAACCAGCCTAGCAACCACCTCCGCACCGTTGCTTAGGAACTGCTTGACCACTTGACACAAATGTGCAGAAATGCGAGGGAGGATACACTCTCGCACACTTTGACATTTTGATGAAACATCTTTCTAATGTCACCTCACCTTACAATTTTCCGCAGCAGTTTCCTGGGTCACATTGCCCTAATACATCAATACCCTTGAGCACTATGGAACTATGAACCATATTAGGACTGGAAACCTACTGGAAACTTGGATGTGGGGGGTTACTTAAGATATTCTAAAAAGGAAGACAAGAAACCATAACTGTACTTTTACTAGGAAAAAAAAACAAAACTGCAGTGCAAAGAAATTAGTAATCAGTGTAACCTAAGAATGCAGATCACAGACATTTCACAGTAAAAAGGGTATTTGGAGATTAGTTAAGCCCAAAACCAAACTAAACCAAATGGGTACACAGTCTTGTATCTGTCATACAGGTCAGGAAACAGAAACACCGAACTGTGAAGTGACTTATCCAATATCTCACTTGTGCAGTTGAGACTGACAGTTTCCCTTTCTTCCACCAAAAATTGGGCTCCTTACACAAGCTGTGAGCAAACACGTACACCTACAACAAAGAATATGCTCTCAGTCTTTAGTTTGCAATTCTTTTCCCCTTTGAAAAGTTAAAAAAGCCTGTAATCCCAACACTTTGGGAGACTGAGGCAGGCAGATCGCTTGAGGCCAGGAGTTTGAGACCAGCCTGGACAACATAGTGAAAACCTCTCTCTACAAAAAAATACAAAAAAAAAAAAAAAAAAAATTGCTGGGTGTGGTGGCGCGTGCCTGTGGTCTTAGCAACTTGGGAGGCTGAGCTGGGAGGATCACTTAAGCCAGGGAGGTTGAGGCTGCAGTGAGCTGAGATCACATCACTGCACTCTAGCCTGGGCAACACAGCAAGCCTCTGTCTCAGAAAGAAAGAAAGACAGAGACAGAGAGAGAAGGAAAGGAAGGGAAGGGAAGGGGAGGGGAGAAAGGAAGGAGGAAGGAAGGGAGAAAGGAAGAAGGAAGGAAGGAAGGAAGGAAGGAGAAGGGGGAAGGGAAGAAAGAAAAGTTAAAACATAATGTTGCATTAAGCAAAATCTTCAGGCAGGCCAACAGATGAAATTTTTCACTCTTATAGAAAGTATATGCCCTACATGGTGGTGCGTGCCTGTACTCCCAGCTACTCGGGAGGCTGAGTCAGGAGAATCACTTGAACCTGGGAAGTGGAGGTTGCAGTGAGCCGAGATCACACCACTGCACTCCAGCCTGGGTGACAGAGCCAAACTGTCTAAAAACAACAACAACAACAACAACAATAACAAAACAACAACAACAACAAAAAACAACAACAACAAAAAGAAAACATATGCCCTAAAAATGTGACTATCTGGGGTGCTCTGGGAATGTGGCAAATGCTAGTCTATAGCGCTGGTAGTTTTGAGGGTGCAATACTAGCGTGCAAGTGATAGTCCTTCTCTCGGTACTCACACGAGAAGGGCATCACTTGCCTGTGTGCCACTGTGCCAGTGTTTGTAATGATTTCGCTTCTATGGCTGGCCACCCTCTCACTCCTGATCTCTGTTCTGAGGCCATCATCCCACCATTGCGTGTTGCATATTCAGATGTCTCTCTGGGTTTGTAGAGGGATATTAGTAAGAGAATCAAATATTTATTTTCTTTGCAGTTTTTGATTATAGACATTAATCACACTTATTGAACTACAAGTTACATGGCTACTTATAGTGAGTTACATAACAAACATAGTCTCAATATTTGCATGAGAAGTAAAATACTAGAAAGGTCTGCCTTCTTGACCTGGCTTTAGTTTCTTTTCTGAGTTGCAATGTGGCTGTTTGAAAATATCCCTCCAATAACTGAATCACTTTGATTAAATTAAAGTGATAGCAATATGCTGATGTCTAACATGTTAACTTATATCTTTTTAAAGAAAATTAACTTTATTTCATAATTTATGTCCTTAAAAGAGAATGTTTGTGTAATCACAAAATGTTTTTCCAAGTTATTGGTTTTTTTGTTTGTTTTTTGTTTTTTTGTTTTTCCTTTCTATACTGGGGTCAGTACTACAAAAACAAAAGTTACTGAATTTTAGCTGAATACTACTGTTTGGTGGAAGCTCTGGGCCTGAAATCTGCTCTTCTGTTGTCCAAAGATGTACTGGGCCAGGCATGGTGGCTCATGCCTGTAATCCCAGCTACCCAGGAGGCTGAGGCAGGAGGATCCCTTGAGCCCAGGAGTTTGAAGCTTCAGTGAGCTATGATTGCACCACTGCACTCCAGCCTGGATGACAGTGAGACTCTCTCTCCCTTTTTTTTTTTTTTGAGACGGAGTCTCACACTGTCACAGGGGCTGGCATGCAGTGGCACAATCTCAGCTCAGTGCAACCTCTGCCTCCCGGGTTCAAGCATTTCTCCTGCCTCAACCTCCCGAGTAGCTAGGATTACAGGTGCCGGCCACCACGCCCGGCTAATTTTTTGTATTTTTAGTAGAGATGGAGTTTCACTATGTTGGCCAGGCTGGTCTTGAACTCCTGACCTTGTGATCCGCCCACCTAGGCCTCCCAAAGTGCTGGGATTACAGGTGTGAGCCACCACGCATGCCCGGCATCTCTCTGTCTTTTTAAGAGTCAAGGTCTCAATCTCTGGTCCGGGCTGGAGTGCAGTGATGCAATCATAGCTCACTGCAGGCTTGAACTCCTGGGCTCAAGTGATCCTCCCACCTTAGCCTCCCTGAGTAGCTGAGACTGCACGTGAGAGCCACCACACCTTCCTTGTAGAGACAGGGGACTCACTAAGTTGTGCAGGCTGGT